TGGGGCGGCCTCCGCCCCGCCCGTCACACGGGCCCACCGGGCCAGTCCTCCCCTGCACTCGCCAGCTGGTAAAATCTACTCGCCACGGGCGAGCGGGCGAGTGTATTTGTCGAGCCCTGGTTATGAGACTTCATATATTAACTGATTAGGGACTTTTAAATCCTCAAAATGTGTTACATGCTCCTGTTATGGCTGATTCCCAACTCTGGCATGATAAATGCAGACGTGGGGGCCCGCAAAGGTACCCCAAAACCTGATCTCTCCAGGCTTTGGTATAATACTTCCCCCCAAAATCCTAAAAACCTAGATTTTGGGGATGATAAATCTGTTGCCACCATCAAGTGCTTTTGAACCTACAAACAGGGGTGGACACTTGAAACCAACCCCAGGTGCACTCACGATGGGGAGGACTGGGCTGGCTCTGCGGGCTTCTGGGGGTGGAACCTCTCCTGCAGCCCCCCGATTGCCCCCTCTCCCCAGATGGCAGCCTGCGGCAAGTGCAGCCGGGCTGATGGCCAAGTGCTGTGATGTGCCCAGTGTGGGTACTCTGGGCAATCCAAGCCAGGACTGCTTTGCAAGCGGGGCACCCCTGAGAACTGTCCTGCCTGGTTTGGCTGGAAGGCTATCAAGTGCTGGCACTTCGGTTGCCCCTCTCAGCTCTGCCGTGTTGCTCCTGCCTTCTACCTTGGAGCTGCCCCCCCTCACCCACCGCCCCCGACACATGGGAGCCTCCTGCTTGCTGTGCAGGATGTGGAAAGAAGAAAAAGGGGGTATTGATCTCAGGGTATCCCTCTCTCCACTCTGTAGTCCACCGCCACAGAGCAAAGGAGGACAGGTATGGAGAGTTTGCTGGCTGCTTTTGGGAGTGGTGCAGGGCTAGGACAAAGGTGAGCCTGCCTTAGCCCCCTGCACCACCACCCAGAAGCCACCTGTGGTAAATGGTGCCCAGATGGAGCCTGCATTCCAAACCCTTGCCCCAGTTTCTCACAGCTGCATGTGGGGTGCTTACAGCATTTTGCCCCGTGTACTGTAACAATGCAGAGGAGGGGCTGCAGGGGCTGGCAGGGAGAGACAAGGCAATTAGAGCAAACAGGAAGCTGCTCTTTGCCTTGGCACACGTCTCTCTGAGAAGGGAAATAAAAATCCCTCTCTGACCCCCTTTGTGCCAGGGAGGATGGAGTGAGCAGGGGTGGGAATGAGGTGGGGCAAGAGTATTCGGGTTTGAGGTAGATCCTGGATTGCACTTAAATTCAAAAAGTGATCTCATCCTTAAGAAAGTTGGAGACCACTGGACTAGAAGGATGGGAATGCAATTCAGGGAATCACTGCAAGAGATAAGACAGCTATTTGAACTGTGATGAGACTTCATGTATTAACTGGTTAGAGATGTTTAAATCTTCAAATGTGTTACACGCTCCCTCACAGCTGCGCGTGGGGGTGTTTGCAGCATTGTGCCCCGTGTGCTGCAGCAGTGCAGGAAGGGAGGGGCTGCAGGGGCCGGCAGGGAGAGACAAGGCAATTACTGCAGCTGTACCTTTAAGAGCACACAGGAAGCTGCCCTAGGCTCAGACACGCGTCCCTCTGAGAAGGGAAATAAAAGAGAAACCCTCTCTGCCCCCCACCCCGGATTTGCACCTTTGGGGGGGGCTCACCCCCTGGGTAACAGTTACCCCTCGGGAGCAGCGTCTGAAGCCACGTAAGGGCAGAGTGACGGCAGCAGAAACAGCAGCTTTTACTGAACATGCTCAGTACACCCTAGCATGATATGGAATTCTTAAAGGCAGCTGTTTGTGACGCTACATCTGCAGCTCCGCTCAGAATTCAGGCAGAGGCGCGTAGAAACCCTTCAGCAAAGACCGGGCCTTCCTGCCCAGCGGCCAGCCGGAGCCTTGCCAGGTTTGACGAGACTTCTCCCCCTTTCCTCCCCTAGGGGCTGGGACTCCGGGACCGCTACCCTGCCAGCCTGGCCACCCAGAGCAGAGCTACAGCTCCCGCTGCCCTTGCCCTCAGCTCCCGGCGGGGCCTGTGTGGCCCTCTCCGGGGAGCCTCATCCCGGCCCCAGGCAGTGTCACAGAAGAATGGCCTGGGGGAGGACAGGGGGCATCGTATGACTTCAAATTGTGATGTCATAGTGTCAGGATTAGGACGTCATATCAGGCGCCGCGCGGCGCCCCTTTAGAGCTGCCATCAGGCGCCGCGCGGCGCCCCTTTAGAGCTGCCATCAGGCGCCGCGCGGCGCCCCTTTAGAGCTGCCATCAGGCGCCGCGCGGCGCCCCTTTAGAGCTGCCATCAGGCGCCGCGCGGCGCCCCTTTAGAGCTGCCATCAGGCGCCGCGCGGCGCCCCTTTAGAGCTGCCATCAGGCGCCGCGCGGCGCCCCTTTAGAGCTGCCATCAGGCGCCGCGCGGCGCCCCTTTAGAGCTGCCATCAGGCGCCGCGCGGCGCCCCTTTAGAGCTGCCATCAGGCGCCGCGCGGCGCCTGATTGCAGCTGTAAGATGCACCATGTGCCTGGGGCGGGGCCGCGCATGTGTCATGAGCCTGCTGCCCAGGGCGCATGAATGGCTTGAGCCGGCCCTGATGAGGCCATTGCTCTGGGACAATGAAGTTAGCCAGTGGGGTAACTGAGTCATGCACCAAAGCAGTGCTACAAGACCTGCCTGACATGGGAAGTTGAAAACACGGAGACCTGCATAGTGACTCAGTAGATTTCTGCACACATGCTATTCCCTAAGATTACTCTGTGCCATATGACCTCTCCCTAGAAGAATTTCTCCACTTAATGCTAATAAAGTATGTGTGGATTATTACCATCAATTTACAAATCCTATTAGGGTGTGCAAAGCTTGTTCCTACTGTAATAAGGAGTTATACTTTAATATACTATAATGTAAACAGGATTGGTTTTCACTAACTTTTAAGCATTGCCTGTTTGACAGTGCTTTGTGTACAATGGGCTGTCACTGTACAATCAGTTTGGCCCTACTCCTGCAATGAGCTCGATGTGGGCAGACTCTTCACTCTCCATTTTTCATTACAGCTAGTGGACCTCTTAACAGGTTCGCTATGGAGTGCTTCCTGCAGGTAGGGGCCATAGTTGATTTCTCCCCAATGAAAATATCCTTTTAAAATATACAAGGGAACAGAAAACCATCTCTATATTATAACCTGGAATTATACAGGAGTCCATAACCTTCCCCCCTCTCTCCCCAAGTTAAAGGTGTTCTTTCATGTTTCAGTATAGTGGTTAGTGACAAGTTCAAAAATGGCCCCTGGCTGGGAGTGTTCCAAGAAAGACATCTCTCCATGCATGCTCTCAATGCAACACCACTGTTACAACTGCAAGACTGAAAGCCTTGGGAGTTAGGATTAGGCATGTATAGTCCATATATCACTAGACTTTAATATCTCAAAGTGATTATTTGTTTTGCAGCTGGGAGATAATCCCCCAAGAACTGTTTTGAAAACTGCACAATCCTGGTAAAACAAAAAAACTTATCCAACTGTACTGTACTGAGGCTTATATAAATTGTTAAACTAAAACAGTGAACTGTATTTTAAATACAATGAAAGACATCAAGTTCATGATATAAAGATCAAAACTTAGTTTTACTTTCCTTATTTAAACTGTCTCCATTCTTTCTGGCCCCTTGGAATGTGTGAAGAATTAATTTACCCCTTCCCCCCCAAAAAAAGTTTAATTGTCCCAGGCTTGTCTAACTTGTCTCAATTAATGTCTGATGTTATAATTATAATTTACAATTTTAATGGGCTGCTGTTAGCTTACAGAAGATCTTAGTTCCTTTAAAAAATAGATCACAGTGGGGAGAGGGAGAAAAGGAAACGTATGTAGGTTACAGTGCTGAATCAGAACACTCGATTAAAGCCAAGAGATGAACTCATTTTTTTCCCTTCCCTTGAGGAATAAAACAAGAAACAGGAAGTCATTGATTCAGAGTAAGATCATTCACTGTGCAATTGTAAACAGTTTATGTTGTGCCAGTAAATATTTCCAGAACCCTTTATGCTTTTTGGAAGATAGGAAATAACTTTTATGGGATGCTTGTTACTGACAATTTATTTCACTTTTTATATCCATGATATATAGATAGTAACTGGATATTAATTAGCTTGTATGCTGAGAAATTCCACTTGGTTTATACACAGTTTATTAACATATATCCATGTACTGAAATGTGCTTGTGCAACAGCCAGATAGCCTTAACTCTATCCTGCACTGGGTACCCTTACAGAGAAGCAAAAATTCCATGACGACCTTAGCTATATAATCTTCCCAGTGACAACAAGTACTATTAACCATTGGCTTAGTTAACTCTATCCTTTGTGGCCATACTTAGTCAAAAGGGAAAAAATACTATACAAATTCCTAACTGGACAAATAGCATAAAGTCTTCAATTCCCATTTTGTGCCCACAGACTTGTTCACAAATGAAATTCCCCTTGTATGGATTACGGATGTAAAAAAGCATTTAATCAGTTAACTGGTTAAACATTGCATTTAACCGGTTAACCAATTAAGTGGAATCCCACAGGTAGGCTGCTGGTTAACAGGTTACCGGTATGCATCTCGCAGTAAGAATGATGCTTACCGTGTAACTGGTTAATTGGTGATCTGTTCACAACCCTAGTGTGGATCTGCTTCTTCCCGCACAAAGTCTGTGGATTATTTGCCTGCCTCCGTGGCACCATCTTCTTGTTTCTGCATAAGGGGTGAAAGTGAAGACTTAGGGAACTAGTAACAGTGGTTGACAGGCTGGTAAAGAATCTTTGCAGCTCTGCAAAGATTCCAATGTGTGGTCAGGGCCCTTAGTATGCCTTCTGAAACAATGTTTCTCTATGCCAGAAAGAGTGACAAGGATCAGAGACCGAGCCTTCCAAAAGACCCATAGCATAGGATGAAGAAACTATCCTTACCTGGAAGGTTTATAGTCAGAGACCTTAGTGCAGCCAACACTTATGTACATGCTTAACTCTATTCATGTGAATAGTCAGATTGAAGTTGATAGACCTGTTTGTGTGCTTAAAGTTAAGAATGTGCGCAAATATTTATAAGGTTGAAGTCTTAAGGCCTTGATTCAGAAAACAATTCTATCAAAGTTAAGTACATACTTCCCCCCATTGACTTTAGTGGAGAATTAGGTACATGCATAAGGCCTGGTCTACACTGGGAGTTTAGGTCGAACTTAGCCATATTAGGTTTAATTTCTAAACACAGCCAAGCCCATTCCACTGATTTTTTTTAAGGGCCATTAAAGTTGATTTCTGCATTTTACAAGGAGTCATGCTAAATTCAACCGTTTGACTTTACGGTAGTGCAGAGGCACCGCTGTGAATGTCAAAGTTCTTGACCTCCCGGAGGTGTCCCATAGTGCTCCGTGGTGAGTGCTCTGGCCAGGACTTTCAATTCTATTGCTCTCCAAGTGAGCAGGAACGGCCCTGGGAAAATTTGAATTTCATTTTCTGCGTGGCAAGCAGTCTTCAGAGCAGGCAGCACACCCGAGCAGCACACCTGACCAAGAGTTCCCAGGGTCGCAGATAAGTACCAGCATGGAGCATGCAGGAGATCCTGGACTTCACTGCTGTGTGAGGAGAGCAATCTTGCAGAACTACGAACCAGCAAAAGGAATGCAGATATCTATGCTAAGATTGCAAAGGGCATGGAGGAGAAAGGATATGCCAGGGATGCCCAGCAGTATCACACAAAATAAAGGAGTTGAGGCAGTCGTACCAGAACACAAAGGAGGCAAATGGACAGTCTGGATCATTGCCACAAACATTCCGCTTCTATAAGCAGCATGCAATACGAAATGGGGAACTGACTAGCTTCCTTAGTCAGTCTGTGGATTCCTCCCAAGACACTCCTCTGGCAGCTTTAGCCTGCAGCGTGGAGGACAGTGTGGATACAGAGGAGGAGGAGAAGAGTGTTCGGCAGTTGAGTGAGATAACCAGTGTCACCAACAGCCAGGACCTTTTCATAACTTTGGAGGCAATCCCCTTCTCCCAGGACGTCTTGCAGCCAGGCACTGATCCCATGGAGGGCACTTCTGGCGAGTTCACATTTTTATCATGCTACAGTTGGATTAAGGCAATGAGGTGTGATCTGTGTTGGCCTCTGTGCCTATACAGTAGGGGGTCCCCGGAACAGCTTGCCAACATGTCTGGAGACAGAGCAGGAATCCTCCTTGCACGTCTCCATAAAGCTGTCATAGAAGAACTCTAATCCTTTTCACAAGATTCCTGCCTTATTTTGTCCTCCATGGTAGGACATCTTTCCATTCCAGTAAGTGGTCTGGCATCATTGCAGCACAAAGTATTACAACATAAGATCCAGGTTTCTGGCAATAATCAGTCAGCATCTGCTCTCTATCACTCTGCGTGATTCGGAGGAGACTGATATCTCTCATGGCAATCTGGATGAAGCAGGGGAAGCTATTAGCTCAGGAGTGGTTAAAAGGGGCTCCACGGGCTGGATCCAGCACGCCAAGCGAGTTGATCTGGCCCAGGGAGGCCCTGCCACTCCTCCCCAGGCCAATTAGGAGACTTCATGCACTGCCCCCCGCCCCCAGGCCAACCAGGGCCTGGAGGCAGGGGGAAGTAATTGAAGTTTCCTCCCACCCTGCAAGGAGTGTGCACTGTTGACAAGCACCATGTACTCCTGGCCGGGTGGGAGAAGACTTTGTGCACTCCCCTGCCCCCAGGCCCCAGTTGGCCTGGGGGCAAGGGGCAGCGCATGAAGTCTCCTCCCACCCTGCACCGCACACTCCTTGCAGGATTGGGGCAGGGTAGGAGGAGACTTTGCACATCCCCCTGCCCCCAGGTCAATCAGGGCTTTGGGGTGGCGGGAACGTCTGAAGTCTCCTTTCACCCTGCAAGAGGCTT